AAAAAAGAAGAAGCTGGGGATGGCTTGCACAGCCTGTAATCTCAGCACTGAGGGAGGTTGAGGTAGAATGCAAAATTCTGGGCCAGCCTGGACAATTTAGTGAGACCTTGTCTCACACACACACACACACACACACATAGCACCAGGGATGTAGCTCCATGCAGCGGCCCTGGGTTTGATCTCCAGAAACTCCCTCAAAATGGAAGAGGAACGAGCAGAGAGGAGCGGAGAGCTGCAGCCTAGGAGACCTGGCCTGAGGCCTCTGGCAGGGGAGATAGAGGAGGAGCTGTGAGCCAGGGGAAGGGGAAGAGGGGGTGGCCTCTAGGCACAGAGAGACATTTGTGTTGGTTCACACCAGTTTTGGGTCATTTGTCACAGATACCACGGGACACTAGTCCATGTCCCAAACGTTGATACAGTCCGCCAGAACAACACGTGAGGCACAGTAAGCAGCCGCTGCTCTCCCCGGAAATTTGTTGGGCTGGGGTGGAGCGCGCAGAAGCGTGAGTGCGTGAGTGCGCATGCTCCAGACCCTGGGGGCGTGTCCAACCTTTAGAGAGTGAAAAAGTAATGAAAAAAGGTATTTTATCTTTTAAAAATCTAAGAAAATTAACAATAAAATTTAAAATGTGAAAAGGAGGTAAAAATGTTCTTTAGAACCTGCAGCTGCAAGAGGAGACACTGTTCAGCACAATAAAACTATTAAACGGAGTGGTGGCGCACGCCTGTTAATTCCAGTCCTGGGAGGTTGAGACAGGAAGATCGTGAGTTTTGAGGCCAGCCTGGGCTACATAGTGAGACTCTGTCTTAAAATAAAATTTAAAATTTATTTTTTAATTTAAAATGTAAATAAATAAAGAGAAAAGGAATTTGCTCGGTTAAATGAACAAGTCGAGAACCTTCCTAAGAATGTCTGGGTCGTCTTGCTGTGACTCTGGTGTTGCGAAGTTCCCAGAGGACCAGAGAGACCAGATGGGATTCGGGGGGGATTTACTGGCGCACCTCGACTCAGAGGGACCCCTCCCCAAAAGACAGAGCGATTGAACAAAGCAAAGTTCTAGTCTTTCATACATTTCGTCAAAGCGGGGTGGCCTTTCCAGTGACACAGTGATGGAACAGGACAAGGGCAGACAGCTCGGTAATTTAGCCTTGTAAGCAGGCAGTGAAACGTGAGTCATAGGGAACGGGGTGTCATAAACCTTGTTTACAGAACACGATTGTCTACGGCGTATATGGTTCCTCGGGGCTTACAAAACGTCTCTTACAGGAGTAAGACTGTCTACCTTCTCAGTACCGGGACAGGCCTGTAGTTACGGGAAAGGGGGAGCTTCTAGACTGCTTTCAGCTAGGAGAACTGATTTTTCTTTTTTTAATTCTGCTTTACTGGAGCCCTGAGTTCCTGTCCCCAGCCAGGTCTATTCAAGAAAGACGATTCTTGGAAAGGTATTTGACACAAGTCGTGTGGGAGCCTCCTGGAAATTGCTGTGTCCTGAGGAAAACCTGTACCCGGAGAAGCCCGCGAGCCTGGGCGATTGCCTGTGTGAGACTTAAGTCTCACTTTTACTCCTGGAGCGTGAACAGCCAAGAGGCTTCCACGATGCTGGGCTCAGAAGCTCAGCGAGGCTCCAGGAGCTTGTCGGACAGCGAGAGTCACCCAGGAAGGAACACACCAGGCAAGTTAGCAAATAGACCTTTATTAGTCTGGCCAGACGGCACTCCCCAAGCCAAGTAGCTCAGAGAGGAGGCCAGCTCAGAAACAGAGGCCACTTTATATAGGGCTGTCGGGGGGTGTTTACACTTAAAACTTGCAGGAAGAGGACAAAAGCAAAGAATCAGTTGATCTGAGCTAGTGGTCATCAAGCATATACTTGACCGTCAGGTACTACTGATCAGCAGATCGATTATCCATTCCATTTACAACTTAGATTATAATGTTCAGAACATTCAACTACAGGCAAGTAAGGAGTGGCGTGATTTGTGTTGGTCTCTGTGTTCACTACAGTTTCCATTTAGTTTCCCAGCTACTTCAAAGCAGTTACCTAACAATTCACAATTAATCATCAGTTATCCTATAAGGGATGGGGGGAGCGACAGTCTCTAGGTCATTTGCTGGTCAACATGGAGTCGCTCTGGTTCAGTCAGGCTCTTATAGCCTGCCCCATCATCGGTCACCATGCCGATGGCTCTCCTCTGCTATTGCAAGGAATGGATGCTTGTGGGCTTTCTCGCGCTAAATCGGGAGAGGGTCGTTGGCACTATTCTCCTACAAACACAATAGCAAGATAGGCCTGTGACTCTGCTATTTTTGTTTGTTTGTAATACTTGAGACTGAACCGGGGTCTTCTCACTGAGTTCCGACTCTGGCCCTTTTTTTTTTGTTCTTTTCTTTCTTTTCATTCCTTTATTTTGAGACAGGTGTTGGTAAATTGCTAAGTTTCTCAGGCTGAGCTCGACTTGCGATCCTCCTGCCTCAGCCTCCCAGAATGCTGGGATTACAAGCATGTGCCTCCGCACCTAGCCAATGTCTTATTTTTAGCAGACACTGAGAGTCTCAGTGAAATAAATCGAAGCGCTCAGCCCACGCGGTCCCATCTGCGTTAAATCCCGGGAAGCGGAGGCCCCGCACCGAAGCCCGAACTGTAACTTTAACCTTGTCGGAGCGCCCACTGGCGGGCAGCCGGGGAACAGCAGCACCCGTTGCTGGAAGACCCCGCCCTCCATTCATCCCGCGCTGGCCTGGCCACCGCCTCCCACCAGGTCAGAGGCCCTCAGAATACAAATGAGCTGGGAATGAGGAAGCTGAGACAGGAGGATCGCCGTGAGTTCAAGGGCAGCCTGAACCACAGCCTGAACCAAGGCCCTGTCTCAAACAACAAAAAACAAAAGGAAGAAATCATCTGCTCTGAAGTTTTCTTAAAAAAATTTTTTTGAAGTTTTCTTTGTAAAGAGACTCTCTCGAATGGAAAATCCACTGGCTTGGAGAACTGCGGAAGGTAGGGGAAGGCCAGGCACGTGCGTGACATTTCTCCACTGTTTAACACGAAGAATGTTACCCTATTAATGCCTTCAAGCTGCTTGCAGAATGTACATCTCCAGTGAAAGAATGGACGACTGTCTCATGGGCTGTGACATTCCCAGGAGTACGATCTGGATTCCTGGCCCCCAGGACCATGAATTCATGAACTTGTGCCTGCGAGGTGTGATCAGAAGATCCAGGAAATGTTTAAAATTCATCGCAGCAAGAAGCACATTGCCATTAGTCCCTCTCAAAATACTCCTTCTTGCTTCCAACACACTTAGCTCAACATTCCTGCCACTTTCTGAAGTGGATCCGCAAGTCCCCTTTGGTGGGATTCAAAAAATTCCAGGGATGGCTGCCATCAAGCATCCACCCAACGAATGGAGAGGTGGCTCCTAAAAACATAATGGGGTCGCCTTGTCCACCTTTTTCCCCAAATCTGGCACTGTGTGACCTCTGCTGTTCCCCACAGTCAAAATGACCAGGAAAGGTAAACTGATGCAGGACATCAAGGCAGCCAGGACAGGGCAACAAAAGACACTCATGAAAGAGGACGTCCAGAACTGCTTCAAAAAGAGGCAAGAGCGGCAGGACAAGGACCCTCGATGTGAGGAGGAGGAGGATTTTGAGGCGGACTCACAGCAATACATTTTCTAGTGCAATAAATTTTTCAAATGTAAATATCTACCATATTTTTATTATACCTCAAATAACTTTGCAGATACTATCAAGGCTCTAGAAATGGGAAGGATATATTGAATCATTCTATAAACTAAATTCATGATAATTCATTACACCAGTAATAACCTGCCAATACAATCATTTCAGTTTTCATTCTTTGTTCCATGTTTTTTACGCTGCGTATTCAACCTAGAACCTCAAGTGTACTAGGGAAAGCACTCTACCACTGAGCAACAGCCCCTCATTCTTTTTTTGGGTGGTGGTGTTGTTTGTTTCTTTTTTCTTTCTTTAGACAGAGTCTAATTATGTAGTCCAGGCTGGCCTCGAACTCTTGGTGATCCTCCTGCCTCAGCCTCCAGAGTGCTGGGGTTATCGTTGTGCACCCACATGCCAGGCAGCAGCCTCTCATTCTTTTTTTTTTTTTTTTTTTTTTTTTTTGGTACCAGAGATCAAACTCAGGACCTCCCTAGGCAGGAGCTGTGCCCCCAAACTATATCCCCGGCCCAGCCTCTCATTCTTAACCTTCAAAAAGAAATGTAATTTTAAAAAGAAGAAATGCTCTTTTGGCTGTATGTTGTATTGTATGCTTTAAGCCCAAATCATAAGTTCATAAATTTTCACTCTAACTGTAAAAACTTCAGACAGTTTCTCAAACAACTGTGTTCTCAAAGAACAAAATGTTAGGGAATTGATTATGTCAAAGTGTTTTGTGATGCCGCCAGCACAGGCTGCATTCTCCGGGTACTTCTTGGCTCTTAGAATGACTTCATGCTCTTATCTTTGGTTTCCCTCCCACCAAGGCCACAGTGGTCCAGAGAAGTTGAAACCTGTTTCTGCAGGGCTGGACCCACCCATAAAAAGCAACCTGGCCTGTGATAGGTTAGAAGTAGCTCACGCCTCATGAATAAGCAATAGCCTGGCCCTAAACAGATAAAAGGACCTTCCCGTCTTTGCTTTCTTCTTCTTCCTCCTCTGTTTCTGTTCTCTCTGCTCTCTCTCTCTCTACTCCCACTCCCTGAATAAAGTCTCCTGTTGGACCTCTCGGTGTGTGTGTGGCCTAGTTGTTGAGTGTCACTATTCCCTTTCACAAAAACTAAAAAAAAAAGAAAAGAAAAGAAAAAAGAACAAAAACTGAGTCATCTTGAATGAATTTCTATAAATTTTTATTTTGAAAATATTTCCAGCGTTGAGGACTTCTGTCTGTGCAATCAACTGTTACAAATTTTTCTAGCTAAGTACTTCCCTATTCCTGAGCTCTCTATATGTTTTGAGGGTGTGTATAGTACCAGGATTGAACCCCGGACCTCTGTACTCAGTTACATCCTCAGCTGTTTTACATTTTATTTTGAGTCAGGATCTTGTTAAGTTCCTAAATGACCCAGGGTGGGCTCAAACTTGCGATTCTCCTGCCTCAGCCTCAAGTTGCATAGGTTTACATCTTGATAGACCCGTCAAGCACTGAAAACATGCTAAGTCAAAAACACAGTTATATGTCAGGTGTGGTGGCACACTACTGTCATCCCAGCACTTGGGAGGCTGAGGCAGGAGGATCACTGGAAGGTCAAAGCCAGCCTAGGCTACATAGTGAGATCCTGACTCAAAAAAAAAAAAAAATCACTGAAAATAAAGAAGACTTGAGCAACACATCAATTAATTTGACCTAATTGACATCTGTAGGATAGTCCACACAAAAATCACATTTTCCCAGATATACACATGAAATATATTAGCCAGCGTATGCCATATGTGGGAACATAAAACTAGTCTAAATCAGTGACAAAGGACTAAAGAGTACGGTACCTGATCACAATGGAATTAAATAAGAAATCAATAGCAAAATATATGGCAAAACCCCAAATATTTGGAAATTGAACACACTTGTAAATAGCTTAGGGATCAAAAAAGAAATCACAAGGGAAATTAGAAAATATTTTGAGGTGCTGGGGATTTAGCTCAGTGTTTCTGGCACCTGCCTTGCAAGTGCAAAGACCTGAATTTGATCCCCAGTACCGAAAAAATAAATAAAAATTTTGCTGGGGATTTAGCTCAGTGGCACTATGCCTGCCTCGAAAGTGCAAGGTCCTAAGTTCAATCCCCGGTACCAAAGAAAAGAAAAGAAAATATTTTGAACTCAATAGAATTAGAAACACAACATACCAGGGCTGGGGATCTAGCTCAGTGGTTCCACCACCTGCCTCGCAAGCTCAAGGTCCTGAGTTCTATTCCTAGCAAGAAAGAAAGAAAGAAAGAAAGAAAGAAAGAAAACACAACATAACAAAATGTGTGGGATACACATACTTAGCACTTAGAGAAAAAATGTCAGCTTTAAGTGCTCATATTAGACCAAAAAATACCACAGATCAGGAGTTTAGCACTGTGGCTAGGAATATGAAAGCTGAAATCAACCTGTCTGGGTTCAAATCCTGTTTCTGCCACTTCCTAGCTGAGTAATTTCAGGAGAATAGTTTAACCTTTCTGACTCAATTGGAATGGAGATAATCACCATGCATCATTCCACCACTTGGGAGACTGAGGCAGGAGGGTTGTCAAGAGTTCCAGGCAAGCCTGGGCTATATAGCTAGTTCAAGGTCAACCTAGACTATGTAATGAGACCCTGTCTCAAAAAAAAGGCAGGGGGAGATAAAAGCAGTACCTAACATATATGAGGAACATGAGAATTTAAATAATTCATACTACTACATATGCATATAATATGCATATAATGTGCCGGGTGTGGTAGCACATGCCTATAATCTCAGTACTCAGGAGGCTGAGGCAGGAGGATTGCCATGAATTTGAGGCCAACCTGGGCTGCATAGTGAGTTCAGACCAGCTTGAACTACATAGTGAAACCCTGTCTCAAAACAAAAACAAAGGGGGCTGGGGATTTAGCTCTGTGGTGCCACCACCTGCCTTGCAAGCACAAGGTCCTGAGTTCAATCGCTGGTACCAAAAAAAAAAATAAAAAGGAATATAATGCAAGCCACTTAGTTTACTGGGCGTTCCTGAAGCACAGGAGATTTGGAGCCACCACTAAGACTCCTGCCTGACTGTAGGAGGGAAAAGAGTGAAGCCTAGAAGCCCAGAAGCCCAGGAGGTCCCTGGAAGGTCAGTAATGTCATTGCCCAGCCCTGGGATGGAGGGGCTTTGAGACGAGGGCTACCTAATTTAGCAAATACATGGATCTTTTTTGCAAATTGGAGGGGAAGTGAGAAGAATCGAGTAGTGTTATATACACGCACCAACTGCCTAGGATAGATGTGATCATTGCGTACTGCTGCAAACATGGGCTGATAAACATTTTACATCTTTTAAAAAAAGAAACAAGATGTTCAGTGAAATTTAAACTTCAGATAACCAGAAAAATGTTGCACCCAAGTACGTCCCATGAACATTTGCTCAAAAATATTTTATATTAAGCCAAAGAAGCCAAGCACAAAAGAATGTGTGCCATATGATTCCATTTGTCTAGAACTCTGGAAAGTAGCAAACTAATCTCTAATGACAGAAGTCGGTACAGTGGTTGCTTGAGGGGGTGAGAACTGTCTGGAAAGGGATTTGAGGGAGCTAAGTTCTGGGATGATGGAAATGTTCTATAGCTTGTCTCGCCTGCTGGTTACATGAGTATATGCAATTGTTGAAGCTCACCGAACTGAATCCTTACAATCCGTGGCCTTTTACTGAATGTAAACCACAAAACAAAATTAGGTCATGCAGCTGACTCTGAACCAATCAGAGGCAAGAAGGTGGGTTATGCTGATTGGTTGATTCCTGAGCCACAAGCCCCTCCCAGAAGCCACCAATAGACACAACTGTCAGCTTCCACCAAAGCAAGGGCAGCTACCACAAAAGGGAGCATGGAGATGTGTAGCGAGTACATGTTTGGCTTATATAATAAGCACATCCAAAATAACAAATGCCAAAGTCACAGTGGCAAAAGCAATACAGATTCTCGTTTCTCTTTCATATAAAAATTTGATCCTAAGTGTGGAAGAGCAGGATCTGTTCCAACAAAGCGTCAAGGACCCAGGCACCACATTCACCACAGATGGGTGTCTCTTAGCATGGAGCCTGCTCTGCCAGCAGGAAAAAGAAGTCCCTCTCTGTGACCATTTGCATCTTGAACGTTGCCCAAAAGCCCATGTGCTAAAAGTTTAGCTCCCAGGGAAGGACTATTAGGGGCTTGTGCAAACCTGAAAATGTCTGTAGGGCATTGGTCAGAGCTCCTACAGGGAGGGACCTTGGCCTTCTTCGTGTTCTTTTCTTTTTTTTTTTTGAGACAGGGTCTCACTATGTACTTCAAGCTGGCCATGGATTCACTGGCCTCAAACTCATGGTGATCCTCCTGCTTCAGCCTCCCAAGTACTGGGATTACAGGCGTGCAGCCCCATGCCCGGCTTCCTTCTTGCTCTTTTACTTTCCAGTCACAAGGTGAGCTGTTCTGCTCCACCATGGCCTCCAAACTGTGAGGCAAAAAACAAACAAACAAAAACCTTTCTCTCTTTACAAGTTATCTCAAGTATCATTATAGTGACAAAAAACTGACTAACACACACCCTTTAAGCGTGTAGCTCAAACTCGGCACAGTGGTGCACGCCTGTAATTCCAGCTACTCAGGAGGCTGAGGCAGGCTGATCTCAAGTTTGAGGCCAGCCTGGACAATTTAGTGAGACCCTGTCTCAAATTGAAAAATAAAAAAGGGCTGGGGATGTAGCTCAGTGCAAAGGCCCTGGTCAATCCCCAGTATTGAAGAAAACACAGAGGAAGAGGAAAGAAGGGATGGAGAGAGTGAGGGGAGGAGAGAGGGCACGTGCCTCCTTTAATTTTTCGTATTTGCCTAGCACATGGCGTGTACTCAGGCTTCTGCGCTCCAGGGTCAGAACTGCTGACCAAGACAGAGCCTAGGGCAGCTCATTTCCATCAGGAATCTTTCAGCAGCAAGTGACAGAAATTCAACTCAAACTTGCTCGGAATAACATTTTTCATAACACATATAATAAAAAATTATTGCATGATGGGGTGCAGCTGGGCTCGAGTATTGAAAACAGGGACATGAATGTCAACAAGTCTTTTGGCCTCTCCACTGTGACACTTTTATTCCTTCTTCCTCTAAACACTTTCTTCCCTCAGACAAGGACAGAGTGGGAAAAAGGCCACAGTGTGTATAAGGAAGCACCTGTTCCTTCACAGCCTCACCCCCTCAAGCACAAAGGTTTCTCTCCCCACAAACTCCAGATCGGAAACTCCAGGGAAGGACTCTCATTGGTTCCGCCCGTAGCGTTGTGGATGGGGCATAATGATTGGCCCAGCGTGATTCACTTGCCCATCCCTCAGCCAATCACCCACGGGGTAGGAGGAGAGATAATTAAAACGTTGTCAGTTTCCATTTTAATCAAGGGGGGCGTTATCCGAGCTCGGGTAAACTGTAGTCTCCGCTAACCTTTGCATTAATTCTTTTTCCTCCTATGTCTGGGTTAAGGGTTGTGTAGGAGATGACAAGAGAAAGGTTAAGAAGTACGGTGTCCCAGACCAGCCAACCACAAGTTCTTGCATACAGCAGGCGCCCAATTCATGTTTATTAAATGAATGACTGAATTCACGCTCAGCTCCCACAGACTGTCCTGGGATGGCTCCAACTTCATAGACCCTGAACGGATCAAGACCCGCACACCGATGCGACGCGTACCTTAAGCCACTGAGACTCACGGGAGGTTGGAGACGGCACCTTTACAATGGGCAGAATCTTGAAGACCCCGCCGCAGCTCAGGGCCCAGTTGCGGGCGGGGCTTCGAGAACCAGGATTTTGGGTTGAACCATTTTCCATTTCTTAGAGGGGAGAGGCAAGAAAGTCTTTATGGATCTTTTGGCCCTTGTCTCGCTCTCAGTCCAAAAAAGCAATATAATTTCATCTCTAAAAGCCATACGGTTCCTCTTTCTACTCGCTTTGCCTCTTAGCTCCACTTAGCGCCACCATTCAGACTTCCCCACTACCATCCTGCAGTGGCTCGCCCCAGTTTGACGCATTGCAGGGAAGGTCGGACCAATCGGCGCAGCGCTCTCATTTCTGCCATGGGCCAGGCCCAATCCCGGCCTGGCTCACAGAGAGACGCGTCACTCACAGCTAAGTGGTACCCCTCCGCCAGGGAGGAAAGCGGAGTTGACATAGGGGGCGGGGTAAACGGGGACAGAAAGTAGTCCGGGGCGGGAGCGCGCCCGCGCGCTTAGGGACAAAACCCACCTCTGCTGTGTGGAGACGAGAGATCCGCGGGCCTGTGGTTGCGGAGCGGACGCGGAGGGATCCGTGGGAGCCGCAGTGCGGTGGCGCGC